AACAACTGCTGTAATCTCTCTTCTTGTTTCTTTTCTCGTTCTTCTTGTTTCTTTTATTTTTCCTCTAACAACTGTTGTAATCTCTCTTCTTGTTTAATTTCTCGTTCTTCTTGTTTCTTTTCTTGTTTCTTTTGCTGTTCTTGTATTGCTGCCATCAAGTCTGCTAAACTGTAGTTTGATTTTCCGCCTCTCGTTTCCATTTTTTTTTCCATTCCACTTCTGACACCAATTTGTTACATCTCCGTTTGTTAATTAACTTTCCGTAATTTGTTCCAACGAAACTTTAGCGACACAAGTCCTTACTTAATAAAACTGGTTTATTCTTTCCGAATACAACTTTACGATACGCTTATTTTCAACAGTCGCTCTATAACAAACGTTATATCAACAAACGTCAACAATACTTCTGACTGCAGGTCAGTTACTCACTATCTACACACAAATTACATTACCGTCACGTTGTCACCCTCTTTTATATACCAGACTACCCTATATCTAGTAAATGCTAGAGCATTCGCCAAAGTACAGGATAGTTCTATAAAGTAGAGGGCGTGAGAATAGTCACGTGATCTCGATGACGCAACAATATCTTAAAACAAATCAAACATCTATACAAATGTTCATTATACAGTTAATTACCACAATTGTAACCATAATCATCTTTTTTTTTGTCAAAGTCCACACAGGCTAGTTAAGTTACTTTAGAACACAATTGACAAGATGAATTATTCTTCTCTACCCTGTTATTACACTACAAACAGTGATAATTTCACTTTAGTAATTGTCACTACACACTCTTTATGGCTAAACTCACAATTATGCAGTCTAGATCTAGCTATCTATCTATATTGAACTACATATTGGATGTGTATTTATAGCCTGAGGCCGAGAACTTTCTACACACTATGAGATATGATGCAATAATACTCGGTCAAAAAAACAAGAAAAACTTGGAAGGTTTTGGTAGCATGATACAATAATACAATAATCACCAATTTGCAACAACTGAACTAAACATCGTATGATTTGAAAACACTTATGTAAACAAACCTGCAATAAACTATCACTTCTAAAAATAACTAAATTCAACACTCACACTATACACAAACAAACAGTTGTGTACATCTAACTTATACTAAACATTTTTTTTGTCTAGAAAGTATTGTCTCAAAAAGATACATGTCTTTACCATAATAATCTGTAAAATCTTGTACTTAAAATTACACATTTTCTGTGTGTTTAGGGCCAAGACCTGACTACATATGGAGAGTTGGTAGCAGAAGGAATGTTTCGTATGTTAGGAGCTAAAGCATCACGCCATTTGTTTCTTTTTGATAAAATGCTGTTGATTGTGAAGAAAAAGGAGGAAGGAAAACTAAGCTACAAAGGACACATAACTGTATGTGTTTTGTGAATTAATATAAAATTACACTTGATTCTGAACTTTTAATAATAAAGAAACAGATACTTTTTGTTTTTTCATTAACATTAAATTATTGTCCCAAAATATTGCATTCGTCGTTCAGCATATTCAAATTTTAAAGCTATAAATTTTATACTAGAAACAAAGTATTGTTATAAAGTTTTATATTTTATGTTTTACTTGGAATCTTACAGTGCTCAAACTTGATGCTGATAGAAAGCATCCAGGGAGAACCACTTTGTTTCCATGTTATTCCATTTAATAATCCTCGACTTCAGTACACATTCCAGGTAAAACACATTTAAAATGTCTTAACTAGCCAGTACATTAGTTTGTTGTTTGTAATCAGTTTACTTAAAATGAAAGTGAGAAAAAATGTACATTACTAATTAATAGTGCTTTAATTTAAATTCTTCTCTGTCTCTGCTAGACAGTTAAACCCAGGTGCTTTGTTAGAATATAAAAATATCACAAGCAATCTGACATTTTTGTGTGATTTTAATTTTATTATGGGTAGATGAAATTAAACAGTTTTAATAAATGTGCAGCTTTTGGTACATAACTAAGTCTAAATAGCTTTTTCAATGTGTGTGTGTGTGTGTGTGTGAATGATTTTCCCATAATTTACATCAAGAATTTTTCAATGTTTGCTCTCTCTTTCTTCTTCTTTTTTATATATGAGTAAAAGCAATGAAGAATATATTATAATATTCAGGGCTGATGAGACTTTTGGCCTAATACCAGGGCTCATCAAGCCTGTTTGGATATAACAGGTGTAGTGGTGGTCTAGGTACTTATTTATATCATTAGTTTTCATGAACAAGAACTATTATGGTGTGAACTAGATTAAATAATTTAACTGTAATTATTATCTAGTTTATTTAAGTCATTTACTAATCAGAATTTTTAGGGTAAGGATTAATAACACAATATTATTTATTTTATACTTATCACCAATTATTTATTTTTATTTGAAGTAACTTAACTATCAATTGGAAGAGCTGATGAACCAGCAAGTTAGTGTTCTTGTTCCTGAAATGGATCACACAACATTAGCATCAATGGGAGAAAACTACATTAGTAATTCTTAAAACATAGGAGTGAAAGAAATATGAATATGTTATATTATTTCAACCATATCCAGTGACAATGAAGCTTTTCGACTAATACCAGGGCTCATCAGAGTGTTACTCTTTATTCAATATCTTCACGTACAAAAAAGTTCCAATTTTAAAGTGTTAGTGTTCATAATCTTCTGTTACACAGGCACATAACTTGAAGCAGAAACGAGAGTGGTGTCTTGAGCTAAAACGAGTAATACTGGAAAACTATAATGCTGTGATTCCATCCAAGGCTCGGCAGCTTGTTATGGAGCTTGGTCAGAATAAAGAAACAGGTGATACATTTAAAAGAAAAAACATTAATTTGTTATATTTTTTAAAACTACCTTTTTTTTTAAGAAGAGAAAGGTCTTTTACACTTTAATCAGCAAGTGATAAAGGATAAGATGTAGAAAATCTTTTTATGAATGTTTTAGGAGTTTATATCAAAATCAACACATGCTTGAAGGGAATGATACAATGTACATGAATCGGTACAGATTAATATATAAATTTGTTTTAGCTTACCTTTGCTTTTATGAGGATTAGATATAACCAGTCTCAGACTAGTTTTCAATAATATTTCTTTAAAAACATAAATAAAACTTTGACAGTGTGTACTGTTGAAATGTAACATGTAATTTTATGATTTAATAATAAATATCCATAATAATTCCTGTCTTATGGATTAGTTGCTAACATATTCTCAGTATACTAATTAATGTCCCTTAAGAATTTTATACATTGAAAATAAAATAAAAACTATTAATTTCTGGTCCTGTCATCATTTCAGAAGTAGTAAATTATAACTCACCTTTACCAAATGATGATAAACCTGGGAGAAAATTAAAATTTTTAAGCAATAACTGTAGCAATCAGTGAGGAAACACTATCAGATAACATTCATTTGAAGTTACGTTTTTATTGTTCAGGCAGAGTTTAATTGAAGGAGATATGTTTTATCAAAATATATGGAAAAATAAAACTAACCATGTTGTTTTAGGACAAAACAAAACTGTATTTAAATTAAGAAGATGTTCACTGTTGGTCTGATTATTATATTTACTGATTTTTGTACCTGCTCAACATTTGATGAACATGTTTTATATTTATTTGCAAATACACTTTTATTCATTAGTAAAATTAAGAAAAAAAGATTTAACCTTAGAAGACTTTTTAATGAAAGTATGATGACCACAATGATTAATTTGTGTGGTTGTAAGATTTTTACATTGTTTTATGGTACATAACACTAGACTTGTGTTATCTGTATCTATCTACTAGTAACTAAAGAAATATTTATTTTGGACAGACAAATGACAGCTTTTGTTAAAGTGTAATATGTAGCTTACTTATGATTACATTTTATAAGACATCAAGAATTATCATAATTGTTTCCTTCCTGAATAAAATTTTCAGTATATTGTTGCTTTACTGTTATAGTAATTTTTAAATATGGAATAGATTTGTTTGGGCATTGAACATGCTTTTGATCACAACCTTATTGAATTAACTGAAACAATTTATGGACCATTCCATTGCTTTTGGTCCTCCAGCACTTAGTATTTGCCTATTTAGCAATTAATGGCCCTAGAAGGATGCATGAAACTTCAAGAAATATTCTCAGGATATCACTCACAATGCTTTAAATTAACAAAAAGTGTTCATTTCCTTGTGTCTAATCATTTTAATTTATCTATATTATATCACAAGTTTGATATGAAAGATTTCAGAAGTTAAGAAAACTCTTTTAAGTATAAAAATTCTGATTGATGCAAATCTAGAATCGGGATTATCTGACAAAAGCAATTCCAAGCGTCACCTCTCAGCACCCGAGTACTTAGAAAAACGAAAACAGGAGAGAAGAAAATCCGAGATCAGCTTGAATAAAACTTTCAAGTTAAAGAAAGGTAATTATTTGTTAAACTTGTGTTTTTTTATTAATAACTTTATCAATATTGTTACGTCTCTGTATGTTTGTTTGTTAATTCTTCTAAGATACAAGTCCTTTTTTTATTAAAACTTGTTTATTCTTCCTCAATACAACTTTGTAATGCACTTAATTTTCACAGTTACACACATACTATAGTTCACAACAATTCACTCGCTTTCTATTGCGCTTAGACTTAATTGTCCGTCCCCGCCAACTATAGTTCCGATCTCTGTGTCTGCTTTCCTCGGTTCCCGCCGACCGTAATCGCTGTCTTTCTTTCTTTCTGCCTGCTTCGTCTCCACTTCTGCTTCGTCTCTGTCTCCACTACTGCTTCAACTCCGTCTGTCTCTCTCACTGTCTAGTGCACTTATATACGATAATACTGCCTGTTCTAGAAATTTCTAAGACTCTCAACACGTGCTACCAGCGGCAGTTGACGCAACGCTGTCGCTACACACTAGCGAATCTTCTAGAATATTTGTCACGTGACCCCGCTGTCGTAACACAGTAGCGAAACTTCTAGAATACTCGTCACG